CCAGTTCTTGTATGCATAAATAAATATATCTTAAAAAAAAAAAAAAAAACAAGGGCGCCACAGCCAATCGTTAAGTGACTTGTCCAAGATCATACAGCTAGTAGGCTAGGACTCATCCTCAGGCCTGTTTGGCTCCCCAGCCAGCTTTTCTAGCTCTCTGAGGGATGTGACTTCGTACCTCCCATAGCACCCCCTGCTCCTTTTTCTCTCAGCTCAGCCACCACAGCCTCAGCTCTTCCTTCCTGTCTTCCCTTGATTCCTACTTTCTCCCTGGTGGTCGATGGTGGTGCCAGACACTTAGAAACCCCACCCCTTTAGTTCCCACCCCTTTTTAAAGTTCCTTCTTACCACACCCTATTCTGGACAAGAACACCCATTACTTATCTCCCTGCAATAGCCATAAAAAGTAGGCTTACCTTCGACATTCAGATAATCCATTTATTTTATTTGCTGTATATGGTAGGTTTTCTGTGTATATTTGCTCACAGTCACAATGAAGAGACAGAAACACAGAAAGAGAGAGAGAGAGAGAGAGAGGCTGAGAGAAAGAGAGAGAGGGAGAGGTATTACAGGTGAAAAGCCCTGGAAACTAGCCTCATCCGGGTCTCCTGCTGCTCGTGCTGTGATCTCTGTGTTATTTTCTTCGTCTGTCTCTCCAGCTAGTCCTTGTGGGCAGGGGCTACAGACCTCTTCATCTCTAACCCCAGCACCTGCCATGATACCTGTCTTTGATTGTCAGGGGCTTAGTGGATGCTTGTGAAGGAAAGAATAAGAGAAGGTGCAGCGCATGCAGGAAGGCATTTAATGACCAATGGGGACCTGAATTACTTGATCTGGGGGGAGGGAGCATGTCCCCTAGCTCTTTTCCTCACCCCTCCCCTGCCTCTACAGCTCAGAACTTGGAGTCAAGCCTCCTGAGCCCTTGGGAAAGGACAGAGGAATCCAGAAGAAGACATCAGACATGGTTGGTTTTGTTATAGAGCAGCCCCGATATTGAACGGGTTCCTCACCCGCGCGCTTACAAGGGACTTATGAATACTCCACTACAGACACACACAAAAGGTTAATAAAAGGTTTATTTACAAGGGAAAAGGAAATAAGGAAAATGTACAACTCAGGGAGAAAATAGGGAAATAAAGTCTTTAATGTGTCTTACTCGATTCGACGACCTGGAAACCCAAAGGCACTCTCAGAGTTGGCCAGACGCTGTTAGCTGGTGGAGAGCCAAAATGGGGGACCCCCCCGCAAAGCCCACATGTCTGTCTTTTATATCAACCTGGCTGCTTAACCCCACCCTCAGTTCCCAGCTACCTTCCCTTTGGTGGGGATGCGATTTGGAGTTCCCAGTGTCTTTGGCTTTGGCCTGGGGTGGGGGTGGAGTCCACAAAGCCTGTAGGGAATTAGCTTTAGGACATCCTTTTCCCCCTAACAGTTTCATGAGTTAAGCACAAGTCACTGAAGACCTATGCGGGGCCACCAATTACACCCCCACCAGCCATGCCTTCCCCATCCCATAGTCAGACTTCTGGGGGGATATGACTCCCTGAATGGCCTCGAGAACTAGGTTTCAGGTGTCCCCTCCTAAGGATACTGTTGCATCTCATTAGTCCATCGTTCCCACCAAGGCAAGCAGATGGAATCTGCTCTTCCAAGGAATGGAAAACCAAGTCCACTACCAAACATCCTACTGCAGCCACCTTCCCTGTGTGGTGTGGTGTTTGCCAAGGTGCTGGGGACCTTTACATGAAGGCATCCAGCTCTCCAAGAAAGTGACAGTCTGATGTGTGAAGGGCCACCACTCTCTGATCCCATGACGCCATGCCCAGAGCCTGGCACCAGGCTCGTGCATTGTAGGTTTAACATAGGCTGAATCCTGTAGAGCAGGGTTCAGCCAAAGCTGTATACCCACTCTTATGGCTCCCCGAAACTTCAGAACTATAGACCCAAGGGTCTTTTGAAACCTTCCACTCGCAACTCTACAAGTTCAAAGCTGAGGTCCCTCCTTCCCCAACACCTGTTCATCATCCTGCCTCCCTATCTCAGGTGGTAGCTCTCCTGTCCAACCACCTGCTTGCCATTCTGGCTGTCTCTCTCCCCCACCTCCACAGTCGACTGATAGCCAAGTCCTGTCCATTTTCCTCCCAAACATCTCCAACACCCGCACTCTGAGGGCTAAGGAAACAGGGAGGAAAAAGGATCCCACTCAACTTGGAGGTAAAGGTGTGGGATGGGCAGACGCCTGGGAGCGGTCAGCATTGATATGAGTCTTACAGGAGAATGAGTGGTGGTAGAAGGAAGAGGATGGAGGGGAAGTGACGGGGTGGGGGGTGGGCGGTCAGAGCATCTAGGTAAGACAACATGCTATTCTAGGAGAAGTCTATCAGGGGAGCTTGCCACCTTTACAGGAAGAATAGTGTAAGTTAGATGGAAGAGATTGGCCAGGGAGATCTCAGAGAACCCTAGAGGCCATGACGAATTTAACCCTGTGGACCAGGGTTCCCAAGCAGTGGGTGGCAGGTCCCTGTAAGGCTGCACAGGCACAGAAGGTCCAGGCACAAAGGGTTCAGGAATCCATCCATGCATTTGTATTATTTCTGTCAGTGCATTAAGGACAACTATCCTACTGGAAGGAGAAGGTTTTCTGCACTGAAAAGGATCCTTTCAGAGACCAGGATACCCAAAAGGCCAATATGCATTGTATGCACACCCTCATTAGGGAGCAGTAGCTAGAACTGCAGGGACAAATCATGATAAACTAAGTGGCTTAAAACAATAGAAATGTATTCTCTCCAAGTTGTGGAGGCCAGAAGTCTGAAATCCAGCTGCTAGCAAGGCTGATCCCTTCAAAGGCTGTGAGGGACAGCTGCCCCATGCCTCTTGCTGACTTTGGTAGGGCTGGCCGTCCTGGGCCTCCTTGGCCCCTCAGCAAATCACTGTCATCTCTGCATGGTGGCCCCTGGTGTTCCTCCTGCACATCTGTGTCTCTCCCATAAGGACACTAATCCTTGGATTGTAGGGCACACCCACACCTAAGTGTCAACTCCTCTTAACTAATTATATCTGCAAAGACCCAGACCTGAATAGAGTCACATTCTGGGGTTCTAGGTGGACATGAATGGGGTGGGGGACACTATTCAATCCAGTAGACCAAGGAAATGCAAATCTCAAAGACAAAGTTAACCCCTTCACTGCCACCAGTCTAGCAAAAATAAAAATGTCATAGATTGTGCTCTTGAGAAGTTGGTGAAGTTTGGGGAAGATGTTTATTAGGGACCATTGCCTGCGAGAGGAGCCAGACAGAAGTAGGATTGGGTAGAGGGAGAAAACCAGCTGTAATGCAGACCGACAAAGCCAATAAAGTGGGGGACTCTGGAGTGAAGCCTGTCTCTCAGTCCCTTTCTGGGACTGAAGTGGCTGGATTTTATATCCCTGGATGCAGGCTGCCCCAGAAGGGCATGTCCTCAACTGGGGTGACTCTCTGCAGCTGAGGCAGACCCCGAGGGGTGACAACCAGAGGCCAATTGTTGAGGAAGGCAGCTCATCCTTCCTCCCAGGGGGACATGGCTAGCGCAGACATTGTCCATGAGGGTCTACAACATGGAGATGGTGAAAACGAAGAGTGTGGCAAGCTGACCCCCAGCCCTACTCCACTTCAAGATGCCAATGTCAAATCCCTAGAACCTTCTTTAGAGAAAGTCTTTGCAGATGTATTTCTGTTTAGCATCTTAATCCAGGGCAACCCTGGATTATCTGACCCTAAATAACTCTCATAAGTGTTGTTATAGGAGAGAGGCAGAGGGAGGTTACATACACAGAAAAGAAGGTGATGGGAGGGTGGAAGAGGAAGGAATTGTGATGTAGCCACAAGCCAAGGAATGCCCGCTGCTGGAAGCTAGAGGAGGCAAGGAATGGACTGTCCTGGAACCTCCAGAGGGATCAGGGGCTTGCAGACACCTTGAACCCAGCCAGAGAGAATGATTTTTTTCTTCTGACTTCCAAACTGTGAGATAAAGTTCCTGTTGTTTAAAGCCATCAAGTTTGTGGTAACTTGTTACAGCAGCCACAGGAAACTAACACAAAGAATAACAAGACAGTGGCTATTGATAGTACCAGTTGGTGCACCAGTCGATAGTGCCATCGGGAGGATCCCCCCTTGGGGAGGGTGAGGATTAGGAGCTCACATGTGCAGAGCATTGGAGCAATGTCTGGAACACAGTCCCTTGCTGATACCACCTCTCCCACAAAGCAGAAGGAAAGCCCCCTCCAATCGTAACTTACCACCCCCTCAGTTCAGAATTGCAGTTTCCCCCTGCCACCCCCCAACTGTGCCTGGTGTGGCCCCAGAGACCCATCTTTGTCCTTGTTCCACTTGTCACCCTGACCAAGCTGGGCACCCCCAGAATCACTGGCCTCCTGGCCTTCCCGAGCAGGGGGCTTTAACCCTGCGCCACTAGGCCCAAGGAGCTAAAATTCTCTGAGGGAAGCCAAGGCATGAATAGATCACTACACTATTGCACATGTATATACATGTGTAGATACACATGTTACCACACGTGGTATATATCACATTAAACAGAAGCATGTGTGCAAATGCTGCAGGAACAAGAACATTCTTGAAAGGATAGGATGCATAATAACTCAGGGCTTGAGGGATGAGTAGGAGTTTGTCTTGAGTTGCACATGAGGCGGGGTGTCAAGGACATAGGGTGCCCTCTTCAGCCCACCCTCCTAGGAAGCCTCTGCTGGCAGGAAGGTGGGCAGGGTTAGGAGAAAGGAGGCTACAGAGGCCCAGCCCTTGTGGACGAGGTTAAATGGGTGCTACAAGAGACCATGAGGGGCCACTGAGAGGCAGGGGCCCATTTAGGATTGAGGAGAGTACAAGAGGCCATGAGAAGATGAACCAAGTAGAAGCGGAATGGGAGGCTGTGGGGGAGGCTTGAGAGTTGGGTAGTGAAAATGTAACTGGGAGGGGAGACGGGGGAAGGAGGAACCACATGCCTTTTGTCTACCCAGGGCCTTGTTCTGAGCCTGGTCTGTACACACTCAGTCCACGGAGGAAGGTAGCTGGCAGGCGGATGGACCCACTCACTGGTGCAGCAGCGGCCCGGGAGGCTGCAGGGACATGGGACCTGCATCGGAAGTCTCCCACTCTCCAGTGATGCCCCTGTGAGGAGAGAATGCAAACACAAGCAGGTCACCTAAGGGTGGCTGCTAAGCTGCCTTCTCCGAGGCTTGGAGCCACAGGTAAGACCAGCCCGGATGAGGCTTCTCTCCACCTGGTTAATGGAGGTTTGCAGAGCTTCGAATCAGTGAGGTCAGAGGTCACCCCCTGAGTGCACACTCTGCCCCTGCCCCCCCACCCTCAGCCGACTCTGCACCTACACCCTGCCCTGCCTTCTTGACTTTCCCTCTGTTACCACCTCACCAGGTTTCCATCCTCCTGGGCAGGAAGACCCTTGCAATGGATGGCTGGAAGTTGGGGAGAAGGTTATGAAGAGACACTCTGTGTGTGTTGTGGGGGGGCATCACCGGTCTCTTTGAGAGTCTGATATAAGTCTGCCCCTGTATGCAGAAAAATGAATGTCCCTCTGCCCACCAACATGGAATTTCATATTTGATTTCAAGGCTCCTAAAGACCACTCCTAAGTTGAAGATGCTGGAGATTGTGGTGGGTCTGGAGGGCCTGACTCAAGAGCCAGAGCCTCCTGCCCCCGCCTCCAGCCCCTAGGAGAGAGGAGGGAAACACAGACCCCAGCTCGTGCCAGCCGCAGGAACAGGAGGCTTCAGGGCGGAGCAGGCAGCCTGGGAACCGGTCTGCCAACCAGTTTAACCAGGGGCTGGTTTCGACTCCAGAGTTCAAAGGAGCTGGGGTGCACCCTGTCCTGCCCAGCCAAGGGGAGCAGCGGCCTTTAACCCTTTCCCAGTTGTGCATGTTCGTGCCCACGGGCAAAATTCAGGTGGCAGTCAGTGTTGGGTAGGGGTCTGAGCCTTCCTGGGGATGAAATGGGTGGGGCTGACTTTGGCTGTAGTGGGAGGTGCAACCCAGCACCAGAGAGTGGGAGCACTTAGGAGAGAGGCTCCGTGTCACCCCACCCCAGGCTTCCCCTGGCATTTCTTCCTCCTGGCTAGATAGTCCTTGGAGGACCCTGGCTTCTGGGTGGGTGCAGGAGCACTGGGATTGGATTTCTGGGGTGATGAATATTCATCAGCCCAAGCCGGCCTCTGCTTCTGTTTACTTAGCCGGGAGGGGCTGGGTTTCAGGTTCACCTTGACTCCTGGAGCGACAGAGGAGCAGGTACCTGCTCTTGCACCTGTTTCTCTTGCACCTGCTGTGCAGCTGCTCCGACCCAGCTCTCCTGACCTGGGCCTGGCCCTGCACGGCACCCTGGAGGCACCCCCACCTCCCCCAGTCTTCCTCCAGGGCAGCGCCTACACTCCGTTCCTTCTCTAGGGAAGGTCCACCTCCAGCCGGAGCAGTCAGGATTACAGGTACAGGCAGTGGGTGGGTGGGTGGGGAAACCAAGGCACTGACCACAGTCAGGGCATCCAGTCTGGCTCCAAGGCTGACAAGCCCAGCTGGGAGGGGAACCCAGGCGTGCTGGCTCCCATCTCCCCCTAGGCAGAACTCGGACTCATCCCACTGGCTTCTTGGAATCAGTCCAGGCCTCCAGCAGTGTTCCTTCTGGGAAAGTTTCACTCCAGGGCATTTCTCTGTTAACTCCTGCGGAGCTGGGGCTTAGCACCTCCTACCCCCAGCCCCAGCCTGGAGGATGCTTCTGGCAGTCTGGTAGGAATGTCCCCCTGTTCTTTCCAGTGTACCCCAGCCCTATCCAGAGTGGAGAAGGGCCATTAGAGGCTCTGCAGAAGGATGGGGGCTCTAGGTTTGTCTTACAACACAGACGCTGACTTGCTCCCTCCACTACCCCCTCCACCCCTCCATCTCCACCCCAATCAATGGTTAACTTGCCCAGTTCAGAAGGGGCCGGGTCCACACCAGGCAAGGCCCTTAGAGCAGTTTACAGAACTCTGCTGGGTGGTAGGGCCTGTTCTGGGGTGCCCCTGTGAGTAGCTGGGTGCTGGCTGCAGAGGCAAAGGGTGGCAGGCAGTCCATTGAGGCCCTCTGTGGGCACCAAAGCTGTGCAAAGAGCAGAAGAGTAGCTGGCATCCCCGGGGGCTGACTTCCATCAGGCCAGGGAGTGTAGGGCCCCAAGGGCAAGGGCCCAGCCCTCAACACAGCCAGCTGAGGGCCCTGTACCAGCCGACTACATGTCACCAAATGCCCCCATGCCAGTCCTCTCAGCCTCCTGTCATTAGCCATGGGCTTGTGACTGTGGGTATCCAGCTCTTAGCAACCTTGGTACACTGAGAAGTTTGTATATCCTATTACTTTTTTTCCTTAAGCAAATCAGATGTATAGTATCTTGGAGCAGCACACTACTTAAAAGACTCTTATACCTGGGTTATTTTGTCAAACAAAGATTAGTCCTCTAATATATGTTCTACAAATTCAGATTTCCATGTGTCAAGCTTGCTGTAGGGGCAAGCGCCTGCTAACTGCTGTGCGAATGTCTTCCAGGTCAGAACCAGGTCAGAAGAGACAGTAGGCCCTGCCTGGCAAAGAGCATCCTAGAAAGACTAGAGTTCAAGGCCAGCAGCCAAGGCCTTTGTGCCACGGTGGAGGTCTATTCCTATCTCTTTTTATGATTTTATGAGAAGTTCTTTATGATGTGTTGCTCCTTTTCCTTCGAGGAAAGTTAAGCCCTGTGGTTGCCAACCTGAAACACCTATCAGAGGGTATATTTCAGATGGCACTGACAGGAATCACTTTCATTTATGGACCCAGAGAGTCTGGTGTTGCTGTTGGTCTAGGAGCTGGATCCTTTACTCCCTGAGTTCCTTGGCAGGCCCAGAAGGGCTTGGGCCATGGCCCCAGACCAGGCAGTGACTGGGGCACCCACGGACTAAGCAAGTGCTATGCCTCTCCTTCCTTGCCCTCCCCACAGCTCCTTCCAGAAACCCATTCTGGAACACCGAGTTCTGTGCAAGGCTGTGCTAAGCCCAGGTGGGGCAAACTGCCAAAGCAAACCTCTCAGGCTGTCCCCTGGGTGTGCTCACCTCTCTAGGGTGCCCTGAAAGTATTTATCTGGCCACCCTCCCCCGCCTCACTTTTTAAGTGGGAGCTGCGCAAGATCCCCCTTGGGCTTCTCTTGCCACTTGAGCTCAGCTAGAGGGACAGGGCTGCTCCCTGGACAAAGGTGTGCAGAAATCTGGGGGCATGTACTGTGGGCAGGTAGATGGGTATGTGGGGCGACAGGGGACCTCTAAAGCAAAAGGCTGATGGAGCAGGCCCTCAAATCATTTCAGTCCTATGTTAGCACCCTGCTTTCATTTCCTCCAAATTTGATACTCCCCCCCACCAAAAAAAAAAACATCCATACTCATTATGGGAAATCTGGAATGCAGAAAAATAGAGTATTTCTTTCAGGCCATTTCAGAAAACAGAGTTAAGACCATCCATTTCTAAAAGGAGGTGATTTATTTGCCGATGCTCGAACCCACTGCCCTCTGGCTTTCTGGGGCCCTCTTAGTACACCTCACTTTCCTGTGACCTTCACAGCCACTTTTGGGAGTCCTGAGTGCCAGACACTCCAGGCCCAGAGATGCCTCTATTTCTCATCCCTCTGCCAGCACATTTGTTGATCCTCTTTCCTCTAGTCTGCGACCTGTTGCTCCCAACTTACACACCTGACTCTCAGTCCTGTCCAGGCAGCTTCCTCTCCCAGAATGTCCATGAGTTCAGATGGCCCCTTTGTGGAAATTAGTAAGAGGTGAGGCCTCATCCCAGCCAGGACACAGAGTCTGTCAGTGGAGGAGGCTGATTTCAGCCCCCGTGCCCCTCTTCTGTTGGAGGGTCCAACCTGAGATAACCATGCCTCACAGGTGACTCTTGGCCTCACCAAACATTCTGAATTTGCAGCTCCCTTTCAAACCCTGTCCTTGAGGAAGCTGGGTGGGGGAGGGGCGGTCCTTCGATAATTAACACTGGTTAAGTTTTACTTTACAAAGCAGGTTGACCTCTGGCAGGGGTTCACGTCAGAGGTAAATGTTAGGACTAGAAGGGGTGAATGAGGACACTGAGGTCCAGAGAGGTAACTTGCCGGACACCACGAAGCTAGAACATTCCCAGGACTCCCCATTCCTTGTTTGAGTTTCCTTCCTCTGAGACAAAACCCAGTAGCAACCTTAGCTCCTGCAGGTCACCGCTGGCCAGCCCATATTACCTTGAATGTCACAGGTATTATTTAACTTTGTAGTGAAATCCAAGTAAAATTCATGTGGCATTTCCGCCTGTGTGGCAGCAGTCAACAGTCTGTCCACCCCGGAGCAGGGCTGGCGGCGGAAGGGAAGGGCCTGGGCGCTGTGGGAGGCTGGGTGCTATGTGGCGGGCGCCTGCCCCTCTTCCATTAGCCTGAGCCCTGGAACTCAGAGCAGCACTGGTGTGTGTTTGCTCCCCATCTCCTCTGTCTGGCTTCCTCGTTGATGTTGACTTGCCTGCCCCGTCCCCAGACGCCTCTCTGGGGGCGTCACATCACTTACCTGAGTCCCGGGTCATTCAGTTCCACCTCAGGCTTTCATGCCTGGGCTAGAAAAATAGCCTGTGACTAGGAGTCCAGAGAGGGCTGCTCCACGTACCCTGTCCTCTTCTCCCCTCTGACCCTTTTCTCCCCCACCCCCTGCTCCTGCAGAAAGCCCACCTCAGCGCAAGGAGCGCCATGACCGAAGTTGGCTGGTGGAAGCTAACCTTCCTCCGGAAAAAGAAATCCACTCCCAAGGTGCTGTACGAGAGCCCTGACACCTATGCCCAATCGGAGGGCAGCCCTGAGCCCCCTCGGCCTGACGATGGGAGCCCCGACAGTGACTTCAGCACCCGCCTGGAGAAGATTGTGGACAAGAGCACAAAGGGAAAGCATGTTAAAGTCTCCAATTCTGGCCGGTTTAAGGAGAAGAAAAAAGTCCGGGCCACGTTGGCAGAGAACCCCAACCTGTTTGATGACAGGGAGGGCAAAAGACAGTGAAGGGGGCCAAGCAGGACGCTAGCCCCTTCCCAATCCCTGCCGTCAGCTGGATCTGAGGCAGGAGTTTGCCACGCTGGCCTCTGTGGCCACAGCTGAAGTCGTGGGGACTTTTGATGCCTGCTGGCAGGAAATGTCTGGTTTTAAGTTTGTATTTATGTGGCCCAGCTTTCTGGAAGGTCTGGGAGATCCCAGATCCTCCTACCTCCCCTACCACATACAAAGGCACTCCAGTTCAAGGATGAAAAGCCCCACCCAGGAAGGACAGCCCTCCTTGAAGCAGTTGCAGCGCCCACAGGGAGGTGGGCATGGCAAGGAGTGGAGCTAGGGGGCTGCACAGACAGCCCCTCCTCCCAGGGCCCGAGGTCAAGGGTGAGTTCGAATTGCTGCTCCTGCTACTTTCTCTACCCGTGACTGTTCTTAGACCAAATCTGAGAGTGGATTTTCCAGAAGCCATGTGATGGGGGGTGGCTTCCTGGAGCCAGAGGCAGAGACACTGAACTTGAGTTCACCTCCTCAAACAAGTGGGAGACTTCCTGGAACTTTGCCTCCAGGTGTACATTGTGGGAGGACCCTGGCACTTGCTGGGGGGTGCTGCAGAAGGCCAGGTTAGGGCCCCCCACCCCCTGTTCCTGCATATACCCTCAAAGGCAAGCTACACTGGCCCAAAGGTCCAAACTGGAAGAGGGGTGGTGAGACTCTGAAAGGAGCTAGAAGCAGCCAATTCTCTCCTCTCCTCCCCTACTAGTATTTAAGATGGATCAGCCCCAGAAATGAGTCCTGGAGCCTTGAATTTTGTTTAAAAAAAATGGTAGTTTTCTCTTTTTGTAATAAACGACGCTTCCAAAGCAGAGAGCCTTTTTCTGCTCGTCTTGCATTTATTGTGCTGTTTCTTGCCTTTACCTCCCTTCATGTAAGTCAAGTAGAACTTTGTGCTCAAACTGTCCCTTTCGAGCATCAGGAAGGGTCTCCAGGTCTGAAATTGTAGCACCAGTGGGCACTGCTACCCCCATGCCATCCACAGCCTCTGGGAGGTAGAAGAGCCCAGAAAGCAGCTGCTCACCCTGGGTCTGAGAGGCCTGGACAGGGCACTGATCTTTGGTGACTGGCCCCAAGACACAGTGGCTTGGTGTGGGACCAGGGTTCAAATTGTGGTTCTACTCCTTAGTAGTTGGGTAATTTGGGGAACATTTAAAACCACTACCACCACCAAAACCTCCTCTGAATCTTGGTTTCCTCTCCTGTAAAAGGGCTGTGATAGCACCTGGTAGTAGCAGCACCGACATCACAGGGAGTAGCCTGCGCAGTGTTCCGTGGCCTGAGTTAGTATTGGTTGCAGGGGAAGGGGCGGGTGGTGCTTTCCTTTATTAAGGAACTCCCCTGGAACGCACAGCTTCTGATCAAGGAAGTGGACAGGGCCTCCCTGGTGGCACAAGAGGTTAAGCACAGCACTATGAAGCTCTCTGCAGCCTATTGCAGCACGAGTTTGATCCCCAGCAGGCCAGGGAGCTACCCACATGGCGCAGCAGACCTCTCCTGTCTAGCCCACTGCTCCCGTCAGCAGTGTATTTCAGTAACTCTGCCTGTTCTGTTCCCCACTGTCTCTGGTGAGTCCTCTCACCCCCTCCTCACACCTCTGGCCTACACCCCAGCTCTTGCATGCATAAATAAATATTAAAAAAAAAAAGGAAGAGACCAGAGCTAGCTCCCTTTGCTGTGAAGTTCAGCCCTTCCTCGGGCCCCAGGAACTGGAAACTGGAAAGAATGGGCCAAATCTCTGTGGCTTGTGGTGGGAACAGGGAGCGACCAAGGCCGTGACTAAACCATGTGGTCTGTGGCTCTTTGCAGCCTGCTGGGACACCCCACCCCAGGGAGCAGCTGCTCAGGAAATTTATTACCAAAACAAACAGACCACACAAGGGGGCCTTTGTTAGGCGGCCTCACCCCTGCTGGCTGGGGGAGCTTTGAGGTGAGTGCAGAAGACAGGGGGAAGGGGCTCAGGTGTGCCAGCTTCCCCAAGGCCTCTTCCCCTATTCCACCCAACACCAGGTTTTTTCTAGGGTTCCACCGGTTACCTAGTCTCTAAAGCTGTCCTTGCAGGAGCCGACACCCCATCCTCCAGCCCTGCCCAAGTTAACAGCTGACATTTACAGAGCACTTACATGGGCCAAGTCCTGTGGCAAGTACTCCTCAAGCTTCCACAGCCACTGCAGTCCTGGGGCAGGTGCTGGGAATATCCCCACTTCCCAGGTGAGTTAGCTGAGGCTGAGCGAGCTTATGTCACTTGCCTGGTCAGACGCTTGCCGTGGTGGTGCTGGGACTGAAGCCAGGGCTGGCCTGAGACCACCACCCCTGAGTCATAGAGCCCCTTCCATTCTGGATTTTCATCTGCTGGGGAGACGGGAAACTGAGGCTCAAGACAAGGGAAGGGGTGTAATCACCTTCTGCAGAAGGGGAGGTGAAACAAGGGGTGATGGCTGCAACTTGGGATCTTGGGAGGTGAGCAGCATTCGAGGGAGCTACATAGACTGTGGAACCAAACAGGGTTTTGGTGTTCCCTAAATGCCCAGACTGGAGGCATCTCCACTTCACTCCATCCTGGGGCTCCCTGAGGTGAGGATGGGGATGGGGCTGGTCTCCTGGCCGCTGGCTTTCTGTTCTACCTAAACTGGCATCTCATGGACGCCATGTGACCCTGCACAACAGCCCCGGTAATGTGTGCAGGAATCTCCCAGAGAAACTCCACATATACCCCTAAACTGGGGGATGGATGTGTGTGTGTGTGGGGGGGTACTAAAAGCCCAAGGGAGGGCCTCCCTGGTGGCGCAAGGGGTTAAGACACAGCCCACATGGCGCAGCTGACCTCTCCTGACTGGCCCACTGCTCCCCTCAGCAGTGTACTTAGGTCAATCTGCCTGTTCTGTTCTGGTGAATCCCCTCACCCCCACACCTCTGTTCTGCACCCCAGCTCTTGTATGCATAAATAAATAAATCTTAAAAAAAAAAAAAAAAAGCCCAAGGGAGCGCTGGCTGCCTGGGGCAGCAGAGGAGTCACCTGCAAGTTTCCAGAGGCCAGAGGAGAAGGAGGAGGGACCGAGAGTGCAAATATGTGCAGGAGCCGGGAGAGGCTACGGGTTATCGACCACAGTTTCACTGGGAAGCGACCCAAAGAGGGGAAGGGGGAGGCAGGAGGGGCACGACAGAACTGGCCTGCACTGCCCGGAAGGGGCCAACCCTGGGCAGCAGGCTCCCCCTGCTGGACACCCAACCTCCTCGGAGAGAAGCCTTGAGGAGGAGGCGCTTAAATCCCCCAACTCCTCATGGGAAGCTTGGGGACAAGACCAGACGAGATTGAACATTAAAATCACACATGGCTGGTAGCCTTTTATTACAGACTTGGCACAGTGACTGATGGACAGAGAACAGGAAAGAAACAGCTGAGATCAGGCTCAAAGCAGGGGTGAGGGGGATGGAGGGGGCTTACAGTCTCCAGTAACAGCAACAGACAAGGCAGGGGACACCCAGCACCCTCTCCTGCGGACAGACACAGGGTTGGCATTGCGCCTTCCTGCACTCAGGGTTAAGGGAGGGGGATCAACACCCAAAGGGCCGCCCTTGGAGGAGCCTGTCAGTAACAGCCGCTGGAACACACGCCCCACGGTGGAATGAAGCCCGGTTTAGAGTAGTAAGTTCAATGCCAGCAAGCACACAGAATGGTCAGATCTCTGATCCTGGTTTGGTCACAGCAAATGTTTGTCTAGCCTGGCCCCCCTCTGCAGCCAGTAGCTGCTCACCCCAGGGGCTCCTGGTCACCAGATTTGTGCTCAAGGGAGGCAAACACAGCTCAGCTGAGGGTTGGTGGAGAGTCCAGGTGTGAGGGGGTGGGGGGAGGGGGGAGTCTCAGAGGCTGAGAGGTGCATCTGGTCATTGGGGGTCTTGTTAGAAGCAGAACAGGAGTCGGTGGCTGTGGGAAGGGTGCACCCAAGTGATGCTGATGCCCCTGGCCTGTGGCCCACACTGAGTGGCAACATCTAGACGGGCTCTCGGCCTTCACGGCAGTGAATTCCCTGGGAGCATTTAAGTGTCCCAAAGCCCAGGCTGCACTGAGATGGGTTAAAGCATCTCTGAGGGAGGGACCCAGGCACCAGGATTTTTAAAGCTCCCCAGGTAATTCCAGTGTAGGTGAAAACAGGTGATCTGGAGTCATCACCTGCAGAGGTGGGCAGTGTGGGCAGGGAGTGTGTGAGTAGGCAGAAAGGCATAATCTCTGTGATTACACTTTACACTCAGGAAATGATATATGTGCATATATACATACACACACATATAACTGTCATAAACAAACATGGGAAGCAAAGCTTGATTAAATTTTCTGGGCCGAGAGATACCCACACAAGAATCTCTGTATAAAACTCCTGTATCTCTCTCCATATTGAGATAAAATCTATGTAAAGTGTAAAGTGTAAAGTTGAGATCTCTCTCCATATTGAGATAAAATCTATGTCTATGCATCTTCCACCTAGAGGTCCTTTGGAGCTATGGAGAATAAAGTTAAATTCTTTTCCACATTGCTGTGCTTCAGCTAATGGAAGGCAGCTATCAGTAGGGTAAGAGCTATTAAAATATTCTATTAGTCAATGAGTTTAGTTATAGTTCTTTCAGTTGCATGTAACAGAACATAATTCTGGCTAGTTTAGGTCAAAATAAATTTTATTTTAGAGAGAATGGATGTTTTGAGTCAGGAGGAGGAACTGCACAGCCCAGATGTGGGAAAGAAGGATCCGGGCTGCTCAGGGAATTACAAGAATGGCAGCCAGAGGCTGTTGCTCCTTGTCCGTCATTAATGATTGGCTACAATAACTCTGGGTCTCTCGATTTCAAAGTTCAAATTGTTGAAAAGAAGAACCGATCAATTAAACTGGCTCAGGTGTTCTGTGCTGGGATCACTCGGCCTTGGCCAGCACGACCAGGTCATGTGGCAACAACAGGGCTGCTGAGCACCCACCATGTGTCAACAGAGGGAATCACTGCAGCTGCGACCCCTAGAGGGTGCTAGTCCAATGAACCATAGTTAAGCTCAAGAAAAATAATGACTGGGGATTATTTTTCCATTTGTGGCTCTACTGTGACACTCTTAGTGACACTCCACTGAGAGTACAGGGGGCTCGGCATGAACCCTGAAGGGCCCTACATCTATGGGGCTGGGGGGAAAATGGGATGAGGTCAGAAGGGCCTGGCTCCAGATCAGATCCCACACCCTCTCCGAGCACCGGGCCCCAGCTCCAGTCCACGGCAGTTTGGGAGTCAGGGCGCAAGTCTCTCATAGAGCCAGTCTTCCTCCCCACGGTGGGTCATGGGCCCCAAAGTGGAGTCTCCTGTGAGCAGGGCCCGGCGAAAGACAATCCGGTCATGCAGGCGGTTGGTCTGGCCTTGCCAGAACTCCATCACCTGTGGGTACAGGATGTAGCCCCCCCTACAGGGGGAAACAGATTTGGGTGCTCCGTGCATTTCGCCCACCACCATCCAGGTCCCTTGAGGAAAGCTGCTGGGATACAGCTGACAAGCATCACCAGAGAGGAGAAGATGCAATTCTGCAGATAGGGTGGGTGGCTTCCAGTAAAAGCGAGGGGCCCATGTCCCCTTCTAGGTGACCACCGGTATCACTCACCAGTAAGTTGGCTTCGGCACCTCTTGTTCCTGGTAGACCTGCTCCAGCTCCTCATTTTTCTTTCTCAGATACTGTCCAGGGCAGGAGATGGGGTCAACCCTTCATTTAATAACCCTTTCCCGAGCTCTGTGCCAGGCTCCGGGGACAGAGGTGAGTGAGGCAGGCTGGTCTCTGTCCTCCGAGGGCTGACAAGGCCTGCTTTTGGCTCCTCTCCCATGCCTACTTCTCCCAGGAAGAGGGGAGGCTGCTCCCAGGGAGACTGTCTTTTCACAGGAGGGAGGGAGCCCTGGCATCCCTGGGGCAGCCTCTGGGGATGATCCAAAGCCCTCCCAACTGGAGGACCGAGGCGCCACACTCACCTCCCGGTCTGGGATCACAGAACTCTGGTGACTGACCACAGCCCCGATCTGGCTGCTCTTGGGGCGGGAGTGGAAGTAGCACTTGGCCTCCTCCTCGGGCAGCTTCTTCACGGAGCCCTCCACACGCACCTGTTCGGGGGTGGCCTTGGCTAGATGGCATTCGATGCCACCCGCCCTCCAGCCAGCACAGCTCCCGTTCTGTTATTATTCACACACAGCCAGTTCCTCCCGCACCAACTAGACCAGCTACCTGAGAGCTACTTAAGAGGCAGGAAGTCTGCCCAGCTGGGAGCCTGCCCTCAGGGGCCCCTCCATCCAGCCCACCCCAGGCTGTCCTGGTAATACTCTCTCACCTGACGGTTTAGGGGTTCCCAGTAGAAGACAAGGGAAGCAAAGGGATTCGAGTCCTGGAAAAGAAAAACCCAGACAGCCATCAGTACAGAGGGCGATGCTCCAGCATGCACTGGGCAGACCGGAGGCCGCAAATACTGGGCCCACCACAGATGCATTCACTGATATCCATCCCATTTAAGCCCTCAAAGGGAGACCTACTTCTACAGTGTGGAAACAGGCCCGGAGAGGCTCCGTAGTGTGTCCCGTTTCACAGAGCATGGGGGTGACCTGCGTGGGAAACCTCAGGCAGGCAGACTCCAGAGTCTTGCCGTTCCCTCCCCAGAGATCTGCAAAGCCTGGGAACTGCATGTGTGGCTGGTACGGAATCAGAGGGCCGCTCATCTGGATTCACTAATCGGAAGCATATGAAGCATAACCCTGTGCTCCACACCAGGAGAGGGGGTGGGGGTATAACAGGTCCAAATGAGGCGGCCCCTGCCCCACAGAGCTTACTGTTCAGCAGAGGGGATAAACATTCGTTATATAAACACAAAATAAATGAAGTTAGAAACTGAAAAAAAAAACAAAAACAAAAACAAAAACCAGCAGAAAAGCAAGTTACAGGTGATGATGACAGCCAACAGGGCAAGGGGCTGAAGCAGGGGTCAAGGGAGGCTTTCCTGAGGCGGCAACTTAGGAGCCGAGGCCCGAAGGAACAGCAGGTTAGAGGTGACAGGTGGGGTGCTTACAGACAGCCCCCTCTCCTGGCAAGGAGACTGGCAAGTGCACAGGCCCGCAGGCTGGACAGAGCCTGGACACAGACAGCCAGTGCGTGGGGTGGGGTGGGGTGGCATGAGCAGGTGACTGTCAAGGCAAAAGTTGGACTCTGAGGGCCGGGGAAGGATTTGTCGACCCTCACCAGCTCTCTTCCCTTTCGACTCTCGAAGTTAGTGAAGAAGCGGAAGCCATCCTTGCCAAAGCCCTTCAGCAGCAACATGCGGGCGGAGGGCTTCCCATCTCTGGGCAAAGAGCAGAGCGCCGTGGTCAAAGTGGTGTCCTCACCGTCACCCCTCCTGACAAGGTGGCTGAGCACCCCTTCAGCTGTGCCCACTTATTCTATTCTGTACTGTCAGGGTATCCAGGCTACCCGTTCCCACCTGCCCCTGCAGATTTGCCCTGGAGGAGCAAGTATGATCACTGCCTGGGGTCCATTATAGATTGAATTGTGTCCCCCTAAAAGTCTATGTTTTGGGCCTCCCTGGTGGCACAAGGGGTTAAGTCTCAGCACTATGAAGCTATCCGCAGCCACTGCAGCATGAGTTCTATCCCTGGCCAGGGAGGTGACCCGCTTGGCGCAGCAGACCTCTCCTGTCTCGCCTCCTGTTCCCCTCAGCAGTGTATTTCAGTCAGTCTGCCTGTTTTGTTCCCTACTTTGTTTCTGGTGAATCCTCTCCCCCCCCACACACACACACCTCTGGCCTGTAGCCCAGTTCTTGTATTCATAAATAAATAAATCTAAAAAAAAATACGTTTAGTCCCAACAGGGCCTTGGTGGGGGGGGGGGGTAATTAAGGCTAAATGAGGTCACAGGGTGGGACTCTAATCCAATAGGACTGGTGTCCTTACAAGAAGGGTCCCCAGGCGCTCTCCCTGCTTGTACTCACAAAGGGAAAGTCGTGAGGACATGGAGGAAAGGTCGCCCTCTGCAAGCCAGCAAGAGAGAACTTTTTAGAAGCCAGCTCTGACAGCACCTTGATCATGGACTTCTGCCTCCAGAAAATAAATTCCTGTTAAGTCACCCAGTCTTTGGTATTTTGTTGTGACACCTCTAGCAAACAAACAAGACCCAAGAGCAGTGATAATGCCATTGGTCAAGGCTGAGGGACACAGAAGGTGCAGTTATGTCAGGTACTCTCCTCAGAGATCTGAGGGACACCGGGGCACAGTATTACAGAGAGCCCTGCCTTACACTTGAGTGAGGAGTTGGAGGGAACAAGAGCTGAATGAGGCGCCTCCCTGGTGGTGCAAGGGGTTGAGACGTAACCTATGAAGCTGTCCGCAGCCACTGCAACACAAGTTCGATCCCCGGCCAGGGAGCTACCCACATGGCGCAGCAGACTTCTCCTGTCTTGCCTGCTGCTCCCCTCAGCAGTGTGTTTCAGTCATTCTGCCTGTTCTGTTCCCCACTCTGTCTCTGGTGAATCCTCTCACCCCCTGCACCTCTGGCCTATATCCCAGTTCTTGTATGCATAAATAAATCAATCTTTAAAAAAAAAAAAAAGAGCTGAATGAGAGACTAATGCTTCTAATCTACTAATGGTAGATGACTGACTGTCAAGTGACTGACACAGTTAAGCACTGTGCTGGGTTTCAGGAAAGGGAGAGAGCTGTGTGGAGAGGTTCTAGATGTAGCTCTTAGTAGACAGATGGACTTGAGACAAGGGAGGCAAGGGTAAGAGTGGGGCAGAGATGAAAGACAGCATTTTATGAATTGAATTAAAATTGGAATTCCCGAAATGAAATTAAGTAAAGTCTGATCTTTGGTTTACAGGTAAGGACAAGAAGCACCAGAGAGGATAAGTAACCTGCCTGGGCTACACAGCAAGTTAATAATAGAGCCAGGGCCTCCCCGGTGGCGCAGCAGTTGAACGCTGGGTTGTGAAGCTGCCCGCAGCCTCTGCAGCGCTGTTTCCATCCCCGGCCACCGGGTGAGGGTCCCACATGGCGCGCAGACCTCTCCTGCCGCCCGCTGCTCCCCTCAGCAGTGTGTTTCGTCAGTCTGCCTGTTTTGCTCCCTGCTCTGGCTCTGGTGAATCCTCTCACCCTCCCACGCTTCTGACTGTACCCAGTGCTTGTATAAATAAATAAATAAATCTTTTTTAAAAATTGTTTAAAAAATAATAATAATAATAGAGCCAGAACCAAAAAGTTGACATCTATCAAACTAGGCACTTTCTAAGTTTCCTACTTCATCTACACCCACCCACAGAAGGGCCCCCAGCTATGCTCACCTGGTGCAGGTAGCCAGACACATGGCATTGGCTTCCCCTATGTCAGGACACTGAACAGCCTCCTCGAACCAGGCAGAAAACTGCTTCATGGGGTCCAGGGAAGTCAGATGAGCCTCCTCAAATGCCTGGTCAGAGTATTATTTCACTTAATGAACACAGATGGCACTTGAGATATATCTGGCACTGTCCCTAGCACTTTCCAGATATTAACTCATAATAACAATCTCATAACAAAAACAGTGCCCAAGAAGTGGGTTCTATTTGTCCACTTTACAGGTGAGGAAACAGGTATTAAAGGGGAATACCTTGCCAGGTCCCCCAAATAGTGGCAGATGAAGCAGGTGTTCATGCCATGGGCGTCAAACCTATCACCCATCTAGCCTAAAGAGAAGTCAGCTCCTGGGCTTCACCCCGTCAGTGCTCGGTAGTAGCTCTGGAGTTTGATGAAAACCGCATTTTAAACAAGCATCTCCAGGAATGCTCCCCATGCAACCAGATTTGGTAACGAAGGCTCTGACCCCAGTTCCAAAGCAGCTCTCTCTTGGTTGCTCTCGTGAGGAGGAAAAGGAAAAAAGAGCTTCTCAAGAGGTTAGCTGAGGGCGCAAAGGCAGTGGGAGCGAGGAGCTTTCTCCTTCTCTCCTCCATGAGTGACTCTCCCTCCCCTGTGTTTCACCTGTCAAACATTTAGAGGAGCGGTTCTCTCTCCTCTAAGCGCTTTACAAATATCAAATCCATAACACCTCTGGGTAGGAACTGTCCCTTCACAGGCGAGGGAGCCGAGGTCCAGGGGGGTTAAGTACAGGGTCCAAGGCGAAGCACCCATGACGGGGTGACTCCAACCCAGGTCGGCTCCAGGGCGCACGCTCTGCCCCACGACTCCCAGCTGCGCCTTCCACCCATCCTCCTGCCAGAACCTCTGCCTGGAGATTGTCTGTGAACCCCCCTCTCCCACGGGGGAGTGACTCTCCCTCGCCCCTGGGGGGCCGCGGAGGCCCCGCCGGGCTTCCCCGCTCCTCCCCGCCCCCGCCGGGCTGTCTCGCGGCCGCGGCGCCCCGGCCCCGGCCCCAGGCCGCGTCACCTCTCGGTCCCCGCGGTAACTCTTGCGCATCGGGCCCAGGTCCATGCCGGCGCCGAGGCCGCACAGGCGGCGCAGGCGAGGAGGCCACCGCACAGGTCTCCAGGACGTCACGGGGACGCCCCGCAGCCCGAACGTCATGGGCCGCCGGCCACGTGACGCAGCGTCGCCCGGCGCGGGGTTCCGTTGGATTCGGAACCAATTTCTCTGCCCGGGAGGCCACCCGGGAAGGAAGAATTTGCCAGTCGCCGAGGCCGGATAACAGGCGAAAATCCTCGGAGCCAATGGGAGCTCAAGGTCGGAGGAGGGAGCCGGGAGCGCAGAGGCCGCGGGTCAGGGGTTCAGGGAGTGCGGCCAATTAGAAGGAGCGCAGGGGAACCCACTGGCCAATGGCGACGCCGGGGGGGCGGGAGCAAGGAGACAAGGAAATGCTGTCACCGCCGTTAACACGCACGTGGAGGTTTGTTAAAGGCGTAGGGGCCGCTGCAGCCCGGGCGCGGCGCGGGGGCGGGGGCGGGCCGCCGGGGCTTGAGAGGAGTGGTCAGCAGTAAGTGACCGGCTCCTAGTGGGGCCCCCGAAGACGAGCCTAGTGCAGGAAGGCCCCCCACCCCGTGGCAAATGTGAAATAGAATGAGGGGCCAGACTCTGAGGCAAGATGTTGGGGAGACAGAGAAAGGGGCAATCTGATTGGGGAAGAAGTTGGGGCTCCAGGGTGGGAAAGGTTGGAGTGACTTGTGGACCACAAGGGGGTAGGTGTCTATTGTGTGCGTGTGTGTGTGTGTGTGTGTGTCAGGGACTCGAGGGTCTAGGATGCAGCGAGATCAGGATGAGACTATGGGGTGAGAAGGAAGATGGGTGATTAGGTAGTGGGGAGAGGGAGATTTGAGATCAAGACATAGCAGACCAGAGCCATCTTCCTCTTCAGCTCTGGCCCCACCTCCAGCCTCATTTCCTTAACCAGGCTCAGAGCAGGCTGCCCTCTTTACTGATGCAGCAGAATTCACAGTAGCCTGTGTTCTGTAAATGGAAGGGTTGCCACTATGCAACCTCTCTGGGCTTCCCTCATCGTTGCCACGTTTCCCCTTTCTCACATTTTGCCCTTTCTAGGTAGTCAGAATCTAGTTCCTCATCAACAGCAGCCATCGCCGAAGCCACAGAGGAGCAGATAGCTGTGCAACGCCGCGTCTAGGCAGGGAATGCAGAACTGAGAAATGGGGAGCCTGCCATTGTCCACTCCAGCTTTGACCTGGCTGAGACAGCCGTGGGTCAAGGCTTCTCTGTGATCCTGGTTTCCATCAACAACAGCAAGGGAAGCCGCAAGAGCCATCTAGGCAGGCACCCCAGGATGTGCCAGGTAAGGGGAACACTGCCCAGGTGCCTGTGTTACAGCTAAGCTTCATAAAGCCCCGTAGTAGATACTTATCCTCATTTATTACATGCTCATAGCTTGAGCCATATAGAACCTGAAAGAAAAATGTGCAGCCAAGAATGATGGCTTAATTGGTGTTGAGCTACAGATTCTCCACTCATTGGAGTTTTATGTGCTGCCTTTGTTTTCCTCTATCAAAATGATTGAGGGAGAGTTGATTGGGCTTTCTTATTGATGTCTTTCCACATAATGGATATTGCTGTCCTCCCTCTACCCAATCTCCTGCACTTCAACCTGTGTAAGCAGCAATTAGTGTCCTTCAACTCAGATGGTTTTGTTCATGGGGCACATGCTCAGCACTTAATGGCTCTCCTGGAGCCAGGATTCTGGGGCACCAAAATGAAGATCACTGGAATGGTTTGCTTCAAAGTCAAGAGCTCAAAATAGTGGGGTGAATATGAAATCACTCAGTGGACAGTTGGTAAAGACTTCCTTTGGATCAGTCATTGAGTTTGAAAAATACTAAGATGATGATGACAGAGTTCCTGCCCACAAGGGACTTCTAGTATAGGGAGAGGCACATTTGTAAGTTGAAGAGGTACTGGTACTTGAATGGATGTTTCTTGGAGTGAAAAGAGAATAAAAAAGGAGGACGTGGACTCCAGAGGTCAAATGGGCAGGAGGGTTTCATAAAGGGAGCAGACTTATGATTTGTCTTTGTGGGTATTTGCAAGATGGACAGTGGATGGAAGAGGGAACAGTGGATGGACAGTGGATGGAAGAGGGAACAGTGTGAGGAAGGGCAAGGAGCACCGGTGAGACTGGGAGCTGGGAGTGAGAAGTCAGGCTGGACCAGCGGGCTGAGGCTTCGTGTGCCAGGCAGGTGGCTAAGGGCCAGGCTGGTCAACAACAGTGGGAATTTTTTATCCTGTACTGTTGTTGAACCAGAGTATCTATTTCCTGTTTTGAAAAGGCCAGGTGGGGAGGAAAGGCCCTAGATTCTGCTAGCCTCTCCCCGACTTGGTGCTGAGTGAGGAAGTTTGCAACTGGTTGCCTTTTTGTATTTTCCGCTTTGTCTTAAAGATCCTAAGTAAGCTTGTGTTGTGCTTTTCTGCCTCGTGGGATTTGGTGTCCTGATCACCGAGAGGCCTTAAAGTACAAGCCAAAGGGGGGAACGTGCCCGCCAGGGTTTATTCTGCATGGGAGAAATGATTTCTTTATTGTTACTGCTTTTCCTTAAACTCTTTGACCCCCTCCTCTACTCAACTTTGAGAAATTATTCATCTTTTCTCGAGAAAGACTTAAATGGAGACAGAATACATTGCCATGTTTCATCGTACTGGTTTCTAGTAACACAATGATGGCTCTGGGGTTCGGAAGCCCTGGCTTGCCTGTCTCCTCTTGATGCTCTTGCGTCCATGTTCTTCGATCATCTTTTAATCTAATTGTTTGGCTGAATGACATTTCAATTATAACTCAGCAACTGCATCCTGGAACCCGGCTCAGGTGGCCTAGTGGAGGGCAAGGCGGTGACTGGGAGATGCTGGGAGGTGCAGGGGAAGCCGGGAATCTGAGCGTGGGGGTGGCTGAGAGGTGGGAATCCACTCAGCAGCATGACTGATTTTAGGTGACAAGATTTCAGTGGGGCTGGTTGTTGAAGTGGGGCATGTTGCAGGAGGAGGTTCGGGGGAAGATCAAGTCCCTGTGAGACCTGTTGTGTGTGCGGCATCATGGCACACCCACCTTTGGTAGAGGAGGCCAGTTGAGGGGAGAAATCTGGGCTGATGACGGGGCTCAGGTGACTCTTGAAACTTTTGGTGGTGGAAGGTGGGAGGAAGCTGAGAATGTCTGAGAAGGGAGGAGGGCCTGGGAGAGTGGCACTGACCCTGGTGAAATACAGCCCCAGCTTTCCAGGAGCCCCGAGGCAGACCACTAAGGGTGAGTGGGGGCCCCAAGCTCAGGAATTCTTGGGCCCAGCCTTGGGGTGAAGGCTCGGAGTCGCAGGAAACTTGGAGCTCTGCCGGCAGAGGCCTGAGTATATGGTTATCGGGCCCCACAGGGAGGGTGCAGAAGAGTCAACTCTTATCCAAGTGTCCCACATGCAATTGTGGCTAACCCCTCACACGGGCCTTGCATGAGCTCATGGATGGCTTCCCAAATCCTCCTGTCATCCTCATTGTGTTCCCCGGTAGAAGCGCCTTCATGGGAGGGACCCCGTCCCTTCCTTTCTCTGCTCCTTGAAATCTCAGCCAACAAGGAAATGCTAATCTGTGATGTTTATGCATAAACCACTTTTGTTAGGCTTCTCAGTACTTGGGAGCTAGGCGTGGTGCATGGATTTGGGGTGTCTTTGCCCTTGGAGGGAGCAGGGCAAGCATATTTGATGATTGGAGCGAGGTATTAGGGCATCTGTCTCTGTTCCCCAACTCCTCACATCCCCAGCTGCCTGGGTAATCAGAGGAGGAGGAAGGAACATGAGGGCAGGCTCTCAGTAGGCCCAGAGGATTCATCCTTTCCTTTGAGTTTCCCAGGTGGTCCTTGCTTTGGGCCTGCCCTGGGCTCATTTCTCCTTCCCACTTGCCCAGGGCCCTAGCCCATCCATGGCTTGCTCGCTTTCCCGCCACGTCACTCTTCTTTTCTCCATCTTCCCAGCTTCATTTCCAGCCTTTTTTACTCCCTGAGGACCCCTTCACCAGGAAGCCTGACTGCCACCTGTTCTGAGATTACTGCAGTCCCTTTAGTGACCTCACCCCAGGCCCAAAGACCTCGGTCAGTTACAAGAGGTCTCTTTCCCAAGGCAGCGTCTCACACTTAAGTTCCCGTGTAGTCCTCAGCCACATTCCATCAGCTGTGAACCCCCTGGTGGCCCACGAACCTGAGAGGCTGCAGGTGGCTCCCTGGTGAGGACGAGAGCAAGGGTAGAGGTGGGGTGGGTGGGGGGTGGTACTGCCACCTCTGCCCTCTGCAGCTCCCCAGTGGCACAGTCTCCAGAAGCAGGCTTCTGCACATGTTGCTGGCTCTGGCCTGCCCTCTGTAGTGTGTCGTCCACCCAAATGTTGAAGCTGATTAGGTCATCTTGCTTATTTTGCTTCATTTTTCACTCTTCTTATGTAATGTTAACTACTTGGTTTCAATTATTGTGCTCTGGTTATGTAAGAGGTTAGCATTAGGAAAAGCCAGGTGGAAGGGATCTGGTAAATCTTTGTACTATATTTGTAACTTTTTTGTAAGACTAAAATTGCTTCAAAATTAAAAAAGAAATTTTAAGACAAGAGAGGGAGTAGAAGAGTGTTGGTACCTCCTGAGACCAAGTGAATGTCCACCCGTAGCCCATGTGCCCACCTTCATTTGGGAACCCTAGTTACCCGCCCCCATCCCTACCAATCCATGACCTTTAGGTCACCTCCCTGGTGTGGGTGCATGGCCCTGAAGTGCCATCTGAAACAACCTGTCTGGGAGGACAGTGAGGACACTTGTCCATAGGACACGCTGCCTCATGAGCCCTGGTGTGGGTGCTGATGGTGGGTGGGGACCTCAAAAAGCTGGTGGTGGATGGATCCAGGCCCACCCTGAGGCTTTCAGGGCTAGGGAACAGGGGACAAGGTCACCATGTGCCTGTGCTTGCTCAACATCAAGCCTGCGCCCCTCTACGTGAATGCCAGAGTCAGGAGGAGACAGAAACGGTCAGCATCTGGGGAGGTCAGGGGTGAGGGCAGGTAGGCAGAGTAGGGTCTAGGCCTCCTCTTTCCGTCCATCAGGAGAGCAGTAGTCCTAAAGTAGGGCTGATCCCTCACTCCAGGCCTGCATCATCAGCACCAGCCAGAGGACCCGTCACCAGGTCACCCGGCAGCCCCAGCTTATGACACGGGAGCTGCTCCACCTACCTAGGGAGTCCAGGGCCTGCTCCTCTGCTTCCGGCCATCGCATCCTTGCCCGCATAACCACTATTGCTCGCCCATCAAGGTGGTCGGTGCCATCAAAGTTACCAGGCAGAACGTCCTAGGGGCATGCATCTGTGGGGGAGGGGTGGCTGCAAGCCCTGTTCACCTGTCTCCTGCAAAGGGGCAGAACCAGGAAGGGAACTTGAGCCTGGGACACAGACCATCCCTTTGGCCAGGGGCTGCCCCACCAGCTTTGGCCAGTGCCCACTCCATTTGGATAATCTCTTGGGCAACTGGTTAGACTCTGTTTTGCCATTGTGACGCTGTGAACTGGGGAAGGGAAGCCTTCAGGTAGGGGGCCCTCTGCGTGGAGATGTTACTGGCCAGGGAAGCTTGACAGTTACTGGCCCTGCAGTATTTTTGAACATTTAAAGATAGGGAACTTTCACACAAAATTTCCCATTTCTAGCTTCTCTTACAAAAATCACACAAACTCTGGCATTTCACACAGCACCAACTGGCCAAAGCCGTATGGAGGCAGCCCTCGCATGGGGCCACATGTCTGGTTTTGCAGACATACTCTGCTGCTTGACCTCACAAACCTGTCCTAACAGCTCACCCCCCACCCCCCAAATTTTAGATCTACAGAATTTGCTAAAACCAAAATCAGCCCACTGCCCTCTTTGGAGTGCCAGGGTAGCAGAGAGGAAAAGAGGTTGCAGAGGGTCCTCTTGGGTAGAGCTAGGCTCCCAGCTTGACCCTCTGCCCAGAATAGATCTTGGCCATTAGGAGACTGTCTTCTCCAGATTCTTTAGCTTTCTGGAAGTGACTGAGCCAAGGTCCCTTTGGCTCTCTTTTAAGGTTCTTACCGATGGGCTCTGTGGCCAAAGCTTTCTTCTAGGACCTGGAGAGCTGAAAGGAGGAATTAGCTGGCTGGTACGGAAGGCACGGCTGTGACTTGACTCGGGCCAGTGTGCCTGCTTTGATGGGATGAAACTGCCCCCTGGAGGCCCCTCCAGGCCCATGCCAGCGCCACCACCAGGTCCTTTCAGGCTTTGGCTTGGCTTTGTCAGGAGGGCAAGGTTCTGCCTTGGTCCCAGAGTGGGTGGCTCTGAGACCAGGGTAGAGCTCCTCCCCGGAAGCCCCTCCCAGGGCTCTCTGAGGTTTAAAAAAAAAAAAAAAAAAAAGCTGCACTGCCGAGTTGCAGATTTTGCCTCAGGCAACTAAATTTATTAGCAAGAAAAAATTTTTGTCAGCCCAGTGCTGACCAACAAAGTACATTGTTAATAAAGGATAACAAATCTGTCACTTCATTCATAAAACATACCTCAAGCAGTTACAACTAAAAATAAAGTTGGATTTTTGTTTAATTTAAAAGCCTCAAAAATAACAAGCAATATGTTTTTTTAAACATGTAGTAGACACAATTGTCTATTATACAATATACACTGTACACAAGTCGAGTTGGGGCTGGTGGGGAGTGAGATGAGGGGGAGAGGTTCAGGATGTGAAGGTGTTTTAATCTGAATCCAGATTTGAGTTGAAATGCTGTGTCATTTAGAAAAAGAGAAAAGAATTCATATGCTCATCATTGCCCCCCAAAACCCTAAACTGAAAGCAGGCATGGGGGAAGTGAGTAACAAGGACAGGAAGAAGGGGGCAATTAAATAAAACTTTAAAGCACACACAATACACAGTGTTCATCATCTGTAGTTGAGTATAAGGCAACGTTCTCCATAGAAAAAGAGAAGATTCGGGGAATCTGTGGGGAGCTTGACTTTTTAAATAGAAAGTTGGAATGTGCTGGAGGAGAGCTGTGGCAGGGCCAGGCATGTGGAGTGGAGGCAGCCTCTTGAGCCTCTCTGGAGGTGGATGCCAGTGGTGCCCTGGGTGCAGGGCCTGGGGGCGTCCGGGGTGGCTGGAGGGCCAGGAAGGTGCAGGAAGAGAGGGGCATGGCACAATGCAACTCCGGCAGTGTTGGGGAGGGAGGGGGGCTCACTTTGCTCCTCGACGGAGTGAAATTCATGTTTTTCCTTTGGAAATAAGGGTTCCCACTCGTCCTGATTTAGAACGTCTCATTGGGCACGGCCAGTGTCCATGGTCTGGGCAGGCCGGGAGCGCATGGTGAGAGGGAAGGGCCAGGGTGGAGCCAGAAGGGGGCAAGTGAGGGGCAGCAGAGCCCCTTCCCATGGGGATAGTTGCAGAAGAGGAAGGAGGGGCTGAGGAAGGGCCCCCGGCGGATGTAGGCCTCCTTTCAGCCAGGGGCCCAGGCAGGACATGGACAGGAGAGTGTAACTTCTGGCCTCCCGCCTCAGTTGGCCTTACAAGTTCTTCGTGACCAAGTGAGTCTTGTAATGCTTGGTGAGGTGGTCACTCCTCATAAAGCGCTTCTGACACTGGGCACACTCGAAGCGCTTGTCCCCTGGGAAGAGGAGACACCTGTCACTCATAAAGTCCACAGACAGACACTGTTGCAGCCTGACAGGGAGAAGCGCACATGAGGGGTGAGAGGCACCCTCTGCAGCTGCCGTTGCCCTGTCATCACATTCTTCCTGCCTCCGGCTTACACCTCGACTCCCCATGGGAGTGACCTGAACCCTTGGTCAGTTCTCAACTCACTACCCACTCGACGTCCGTCACGCTCCTGTTTGCTTTGTTGAGACCCTTGTCCCTCGCCCAAGTACCTGTGCTCCTGCACCCAGAACTCTCTCGAGTAGGGCTGCTGCCTGCATTCCCCTGACCTTTGTCCCTCTAACCTGGTTCCTTGCCTTCCCCTCACAGGGAAAGCCCACCCACTCTGGCCTACCCACATGAGTAGAGTCCAGCCAGGCCCACCCAGGTGAGGGCAACTGCTACTCTATCTGCTCCTCAGCCTAGACAGGTGGGCATGACCTGCCAGCTATGCTGGCCAGGAGCTGGAGCTCTGGGTCATGTATCCCCATCTCAGTCCCAAGACGGGTCCCTGGGGGCATTCGCAACAGCAGCAGTTCTCACAGTATGTGGCCCACAGTACCTTGGCCCAAGAAAATTTTAGGTGCTAGCTGGGTAAACATTTTCATGTTTATAGTTTTATATTTACTTGTCAGTGCATTAAAACATAAAATGTGTGATGTCAAAAATGAAAGTGATTGAGGTCTCCCTGGTGGTGCAAGGGGTTAAGCACAGCACTATGAAGCAATCTGCAGCCTCTGCAGCACTAGTTCAATCCCTGGCCCACCAGGGAGCAACCCATATGGCGCAGCAGACCTCTCCTGTCTCGCCTGCTGCTCCCCTCTGCAGTGTATTTCAATCAGTCTGCCTGTTCTGTTCCCCACTCTGTCTCTGGTGAATCCTCTCACCTCCCCACACACACCTCCGGCCTGTACCCCAGCTCTTGTATGCATAAATAAATAAATCTTTAAAAAAAAATGTGATTGGGCATAAATAAGTAAAATTAGTGAAACAACTAAAGGAAAATCATTAGGTAAGTGATAGTTAGGAACGGCACCATGGACTTAGAAGCCAAGGGCCAGGGTTTGAACTCAGTTCCACTCATCACTAGCTGTGTGACCTGGCCACCTGTCCAGGCCTGAGTTATAATTGGCAGAACCAAAGCACCTCAGAGTTGCTGTGAGGATTAAATCAGTTCAGCAGTAAGGTGTGCAGTCCAGCCTGCTGCACTAGTCAGTGCTTGCTAAATAATAAGTCTGCGGATGGCAGTTCTCAGGGCTGTGTAATGCAAATGACACCACTTTGGGAAACACTTGGGTAAAAGAATGGCTTGAAGAGTTTCCTGGGTGGTCCCAGGCCCCCTAAGTAGAGGCTGGCTCTCCAGCTCAATGTGGCCATTCCTTGGCAGGGTCAGGGAGTGGGGGTGGCTGGAGTTTGCTGCCAGGGAAGGGAGCAGACCTGTGTGGGTGCGTGCGTGCCTCTGGAGTTCGTCGCTCCGCGTGAATCTCTTCCCACAGAAGAACCAGTTGCAGACAAAGGGCCGCTCGCCGGTGTGTAGGCGCACGTGGGCCCGCAGCAGGGATGTCTTCCGGAAAGTCTTGCCACAGTCAGGGATATGGCACACGTGCTTCTTCTTCCCCTGCTCTCCAGACCTGAGTGTTGGGTTGAGGGATGGAAGGGGAGAGAGGAAGAGGTAGAGATGGGGGCAGGACAGGGTAGAGATGATCAGGTCTGAGAGCACAGGAAAGGTGGGGGTCCGGGTGGCAGGGCACCGCTACCATGTCCCTTTGTGGTCTGTGCGGGCTCTCAGCCCTGGGCAGACATCCCAGGCACAGGGCACAAGCCAGGCTGGTGGGCGGCACCCCCTTAAATTACCTTTTGTCCCCATCCTTGCAGTTGGGACAAGTGCAGGCCATGCGGCGCCGCTTCTCCCCAGGCTGGGCCTCTCCAGCCAGGGCCTGCTCCATCTGCAGCTGGATCTGGGTGGGGCTGAGCCCACTGATGGTTAGGTTGTTCCCAGAAACATTCTGCACCGTCAGCTGCTGCTGGCCTGCAGGGAGGAGGAGGTGAGGTTCAGGGCAAGGCAGCCCAAGGGGCGAGGAGGGAGCCTGCAGCCTCCTCTTCTGCACACGAGGATGAGAATTATGGCCACTACTATTTCAGAGAACCTATTATGTGCCAGATGCCATGTTCGAGACCTTCAATGTACTGACACACTTAATCGTCATAACCGGAGGAAACAGGTGCTGTTACCCTCCTCTTGCAGTCAGGGAAGCAGCTGAGGAACCCACTGAAGTCACACAACTCATACAGGGTAGGACCTAGACTGAACCCAGACCGTCGGCTTCAGAGTCAAGGCCCAGCACAGGTCCTGTCTACACAGGCAGAATCTGCATTCAGATGTCGCCCATGTGATTTAAGTTGGGAAGGGTCTTGGCTTGGGCTGTCTTGGAGTGTTTCTTCTGGAATCTCCTCCAGCCTTTCACCCTTGAGAGATACCAGCTCTGCTTTCAGGAAAGTCTCCAGACATTCTTGTTAATAAGAGTGAGAAAACAGTTCTATGGACTCTGGAAAAATTTAAGTCTTCTAGGACTTGAGTAAAGCCATTCAAAGCAGGGGAGTGTTGTGACCTAACACCGGTGCCCTGGGGGTGGATTCCTCCCTGCTAGTAAGCCAAATGCACAAAGTGCCTTAAATTCATTAAGAGTAAAGAGGGGCAATTCAGAGAGCTCCCACTATCTAGAAAAGTACCCAACCCAGCCATGAATGCACAGAACCTTGTCAGCTTGGTAGCGGCATGCTTCCTTTGATTATTTGCAAGCCTGCTATGAAAAATGCAGCTAAAGCCACCCCTCCTTTCCTTCCGACCTGAACTTGGGACTGTCTCCTTCTAGAAGCCTTCCTTTAAGCTCCTCTATCAGGAGCTTCCCTTGAACATATATCTCCGCTTGTACCAAGCTAATTTGCACTTGTACATTAGAGTTTTCCTGAATACAATTTTCTATTTCTCCACCATATTTAAAGATCTCTGGCTATCAAGAGGGGCCAACACACGTCTGAAACTGTCAGTATCTCACAGGACAACTGTAAGGGCCAAGTGGACGTGCTTTTAGGTTGGAAGCAACCAGGTAATGGGAGTATCCTCCCAGTTATTACTGGGAAGCCGGGAGTGGTCCACGGATGGTGTGGGGGTGGGCACCGGCACAGGCATTGGCCACGCCCTGGCCCGGGGGCCTTCCCTTACCTCCGGTGTTGGTGATGGTGACTGGTACACCCTGAACCTGGACGCCGTTGATGTTGATAGTCTGCATGGCCTGCGCCGCTGCTGCCAGCTGGGCTGCGTTCAGGCTGATGATGCTCCCAGCGGGGGCAATCTTTGGCAGGGGACGCTCTTTCCGGAGAATCGCAGCAGAGTGCTTTTTGCCGGTCCCGCTCAGATGGGGAGCACGGGACGCGGGGTTGCTACAAGTGGTGGTAGAGGTGGTTACAGCTGTTCCTGGAGAATTGTCCTGAACAAGGACTGTCTGCACCTCACCGGAAGGCGTACGGATATAGACCTAGGAGGACAGAGAGACAGTCAGTGACCCAGGAGAGAGGCAGCTCCCTGCACCTTCCAGTGCAGTGTCACCCCCCACATGAGAACTGCAAGTATCTCTTCGCCAGCCTAAGTCTTTCCAGCCAGCCCAAATCATTTACACACCTTCAAGGAAGGGCTGGTGGCATCTGTGTGTTGAGCCGGCAAATGCCGACTGATTTGAAACCAAACATTTAATTTACTTAGCGTGGAAAAATGCAAATGCCAAATCTCAAAACTGGAGAATCAGAGGGAAACTAAATGATGATCAAAGCTGTATTGTGAGGCCTCCCCAGTGGCGCAGCGGTTGAGCGCTGGGTTGCGAAGCTGCCCGCAGCCTCTGCGATGCCGGTTCGATCCCCGGCTGCTCCCCGGCCACCGGAGGAGGGTCCCACATGGTGCGCAGACCTCTCCTGCCGCCCGCTGCTCCCCTCAGCAGTGTACTTCGGTCCTTCTGCCTGCTCTGCTCCCCGCTCTGGCTCTGGTGAATTCTCTCGCCCTCCCGCGCTTCTGACTGTACCCAGTGCATGTATGAACAAAACAAACAAACAAACAAATAAATAAAAACATGCCTCTAATAAAAAAACAAACAAACAAAAAAGCTGTATTGTGAATGACCATCGAACAAATGAAACCACTTTGAGGCCCAACTGAAGAGAAAACAGCTTTAGACTGGCTGAGACAGAAAAATAAACACAGTGCTCGTCAGTGGTGCGACAGCAAGGAAACAGGCTGAGCTCACACTTAAGTTAGCAGTGGGAGTGTGAAGGGCGCAGGCTTCCTGGGGGGGTATTTGCAAGCATGGACCAAAAGCCTGAAAAACAGGCATGTTAAAGCCTTCGTGGGAAGAGGAGGGCACTTGTGGGGCATGGCCACAGCAGCAAGGTATGGGTGTGGAGCACCAGTAGGTGTCCACACAGGAGAGCTGAAATACTGTGGAAGACTGGTTAGTTATGACTGGGGGCTGATCCAGAGTGGAATTTTTTTTTAAAGATTTATTTTTTATTTATACAAGTGCTGGGGTACAGGCCAGATGCGCAGGAGGGTGAGAGGATTCACCAGAGACAGAATGGGGAACAGAACAGACAGACAGACGAAGACACTGCCGAGGGGAGCAGAGGGTGAGACAGGAGAGGTCTGCTGCGCTATGTGGGATTCTTGCCAGCCAGCCAGCCGGGATCAAACCCACGCTGCAGAGGCTGCAGACAGCTTCATAGTGTGGTACTCAACCGCCTGCACCACCAGGTAGGCCTGGAATTTTTTTTAAGATTTATATATGCATACAAGAACTGGGGTATAGGTCAGAGATGCAGGGGGTGAGAGGATTCACCAGAGACAGAGTGGGGAACAAAACAGGGTGATCTACTTAATTACTCTGCTGAGGGGAGCAGCAGCGGGTGAGACAGGAGAGGTCTGCTGTGCCATGTGGGTAGCTCCCTGGCTGGGTATCGAACTCATGCTGCAGTGGCTGGAGATAGCTTGATAACACTGAGACTGGAATATATTAAGGGTAATAGGAGCTGGGTTCCTCCCTGTAAGAGAAGGGAGTTATGGAATATGGAGAATACTGGATGGTAATAAGAGGAAACTCTGGGTGGGCGGGTAGATACACGTGCATGTGTGGTGCCCAGGCCTGTCTGTCTATACTGTATACACCTATATGAGTGCTCAGCTGAGTCCACTGAGAAGGGCTGGGAGCAGTAACACTCTGGTAGTGATGAGCTCACCTTGCACCCAGGTCTTAGTTTCTAAATCCCATGCACCACAAAAGGAACTCAGGCTCCTTGGAGGAGTAGCTGGAATGGGAGGAGGGAATATACAAGAAGCACCTGGAACATCTGTTGAGAACCCAAAAGTAAGCGAGTGCTCAAAGAATGTGGTGACATGTGAAGGGTCACAGGCGCCCACTGGTCAAATATGGATAATTTGAGCATCAAAATGTAACACTAACAGACGATAGCCCACTGAATAAAACAGGAATGTGTGATTCCATACGATAAAAAGAAACAAATGGAGATGAGAGTAAAAGACTGCTCTCACATCCCCTAGGAACTAGGACTCCTAGGAGAAATGTTTGACTGAAGAGCTGGGAAATATAAGAACACAGTACTGACTCAGCTACCAGGCGGATGAACCTTGAAAACTTTATCTAGTCAATCCCTGAACAACATAGGGGTTAGGACAATTTAGGCAGTAGAAAACCCACACACAATTCCGACTCTCCCGCAAATTTAACTACAGTCATCCCTTGGTATCCACAGGGGGACTGAGTTCAGGACCCTTCGACCTCTCACCCTACAATGCAGCTCAAGACTGTTGAGGCCATAGTAAACAAGACTAAGAGGCTATCTGACCAGAGGGGTCCACGGGGTGCAATGTGGTGTCTGGCTTGGATCTGGGAACAGAAAGAAGACAGTAATGGAAAAGCCCCTGACATCCAAATCAAGTCTGGAGTTTGGTTAACCTTAATGTACCGGGCCTCCCCGGTGGCGCAGCGGTTGAGCGCTGGGTTGCGAAGCTGCCTGCGGCCTCTGCGGCGCCAGTTCGATCCCCGGCTGCTCCCCGGCCACCGGAAGAGGGTCCCACATGGCCCGCAGACCTCTCCTGCGGCCCACTGCTCCCCTCAGCAGTGTACTTCGGTCCTTCTGCCTGCTCTGCTCCCCGCTCTGGCTCTGGTGAATTCTCTCACCCTCCCAGGCTTCTGACTGTACCCAGTGCATGTATAAACAAAACAAACAAACAAACCAGGAAAACAAATAAATAAAGCATGCCTCTATTAAAAAAAAAAAAAAAAACAGTAATGTACCAATTTCAGTTTCTCAGTTTTGACACATGCACCCTGGCAAAGTAGGATTATCATTTGTACACCTTCTATAAAGCATTCAAGAAGCAAGGCAGGGCCTCCCTAGTGGCGCAAGGGGTTAAGCACCGCACTACGATGCAATCCGCAGCCTCTGCAGCACAAGTTTGATCCCCAGCAGGCCAGGGAGAAACCCACATGGCGAGGCTGTCTCGCCTGCTGCTCCCCAGCAGTGTATTTCAGTCCATCTGCCTGTTCTGTTCCCCACTCTGTCTCTGGTGAATCCTCCCAACCCCCTGCATCTCTGGCCTGTACCCCAGCTTATTTATTTGTATGCATAAAAAAATAAATCTTAAAAAAAAATCAAGTCGGGGGTGTGGGGCAGGAACCCTAGTGGCAACAGATGCTGAAATAACTCATGGGAAAAAGTTTCTTGTTTTAAAAAAAAACCCTGTTGTGATTTATTGGGGGGGGGCAGGTCGGTGTTTAATTTTAATTCCTGAATTACTTAGGACTATTTCTCAGTTAAAAATCAAACAAACACAGGCATTCATCAAATAAAGCCTGCTTCGATCTGGAAAAAAAAACAAATAAAGATCATGAACCCTTAATGAACACAGGACTCTCATGCCCAGTTTTCTGGTGTGCGCCTTTTGCAAATGATTGCTATTTTCTGTATGTCTTAAGTTTCTGTTACGAGAACATCTTTTGTTCATAATATAGAGCAGGGATCAAACAAACTGTCTCTGTAATGGGCAGGCAGTAAATATTTTTAGCTTTTGTGACCATGAGATCTGCCTTGCAGTGCAAATGCAGCACGAACAGGCATGCCTATATTCCCATTAAACTTTATTTACAAAAACAGGTGGGTGGAAAGGCCACATTGATCTGGGGGCTGTAAATCGACAATTTCTGGTACAGAATATAATATATTTAAAAAATAGATGCTTAATCCCTTGATACACAGTTGTATAACAGATAGCACCTCAGAATAATGGGGAACCCTGCATATGTATGATTGTTTCCTTAGGGGAGCTGCTGAAGCTCTGCCTCCATCATTCTTAAGACACAGAATCTTAGGGAAGGGAGGGGAGGCACTCTGGGGATGTGTGCACCTGAGCGGTATCACTTCAGCTCCTCACCTTTAAGGTAGGTCTGAAGACACAACCTCATAAGGGCTCTGAACCTCATAGGTATTGTAGTAAGTAAACAATTTATAGGACATCACTTGGCAAGCCATAATATGCCAGAAGGGAGGAGGCGTTTTAAGGCAGGCCTCAAATTTCCTCTGGCCTGACTTCCTTGTCAACAGCTCAAACTCACACCAGGAGACTGTCCTGCTTCCTACTGTCCCTCGCTGTGACTAGATTCTCCATTCTTCAATGACTTTATCACTTCCCTCGGTTCCTGGTTCTCCCTTTGCAACTTGGACATAATCTCTGGCATTAGTGGGCACACACAAAGATGAAAACCTGCTCCATAAAGCCAGAGAGGTTCCAGACTATTAGAGCACCTTGATAAATGCCAGAACATTCCTGATGGGTCTATATCCCAGATTGGATCCAACCTAAATTTCCCTGCTACCCAGCTAGGATGTTGCTTCTATTTTTTTCCCTTGTCATTAACCATGACTGAATTTTTCTCACTAATGTTCTTCCTTTACATCAAATTCTATGGTTCTGATTGGATTTTTTCCCTCTTGCTACCATTCTGAGCATGCAATTCTAAAATAAAAAAATAACCCTTATTTAAAAAGTATGTATCTGCCCCCTACCCACCCCCTAAAAGACTCCCATAAAGAAAGCGTGGACCAAAATACAGGTATGTAGGTATGTTTCATCTGATTCTAGCGATAAGCTGTACATGGTCCTGTGAGCTGGAGTCCATTTGTCAGGTAGAATTGCCACTTACTGCCCACCCTAAAGGACACCGACTCCTGACACTCAGATCAAATCAGGAGACGCAGCAGCATCACCTCAGAAAGCACACCGAGGGGGGAATAGTGTGTCAGCCATTCAGAGCTGAGGAGGAGAGGGAGGCGGGTATAGATGGGGTGTTTGGTACCTGAGTAGGCGTTGGCTCAGCCGTCTGGATCTGAAAGTTCTGGGAGGGCTTCTGGGGAACCGTGGGGAGGGTGGCAGATGCGGCCTGCACCACCCGCAGGGCCTGCTGAGGGATCTGTACCACCTGCTGCTGTTCAGCCTTGGGAGGCACCACCTGGACCTGCTGGACCACAGCCGGCTGGCCCCCGCCGGGGCTCTGAACGATGAGCAGGTTGTTCCCTGCCTGGATGATGTTGTCTGCGGTGGTCTCAATCAGCACTGTCTCCACCTGCTCAGCCACGGCCACCGGGGGCTGGGAGGCAGGAAGACTCTTCTTCCTGGCTTTCTTGTTAGTCTTAGACAGTGGGGTAGGGGGGCTCTCCGTGAGGAGCTGAGTGGGGGCCCCGGTGTCGCTGGTGTTCATGAGGTTGTTGACAGGCAGAGTGAGTGTCACGTTGCCTCCCCCACCTGTCAGCTTCACCACGTTGGCCCCGCTCTGCACGGGGGTGGTGGTAGTACTTGACTTCTGCACGGGGGCTGGCTTGATGGGGACAGGCTTGTGACTGGATGGTGAGGGGGTGATGATGGCCTGGTTGGTGCCGGGGATGATCTGGATCTGATTGGTGAGATTGGGCTGTACCTGGATGGTTTGGGAACCACTCGCCTGAATCTGAGGAACTGCTTGGTACTGGATGTTGGCATTTGATCGGGTCCCTTTGTTGATCATGGTGGGATTCTGGATGGCAAATACCAGCTGCCCCCCAGGATAGGACGTGCTCAATTGTGACCCCTGAATCTGAAGTATGTTTCCTTTGGAGGACAAGATTCCAAAGCTATTCTTGCCGGGACTGAGAGGAAGAGGGGCTGGTTTGATGGGGACCAGTTTCCGTGGTGTGGGCTGTGGGGGAGCAGGAGGCGTCACAGCAGCTTCAACAGCTGGAGGGCCAATTTTGCTACATGTTGCGGCAAGCAGGGCTAAGGGAGATGGCTGGGAGTCCTGCAAACACCAAACGGAAACAGCAATGAAACATGAGGGCCTGCTGTCCTGCCTCCCCTCTGCCCTTTATGATTCCTGTCTTGGCAGGCTCTTCCCCACCTATGGCAGGCAGGGTGCCACCATGCCCCCCTCCACAGTGGCGCCACTGAGTAAGTGAGAAAGGGGGGGAAAGGTCTTTCTCAGGAAGGGAGCTCCCAGCACCCATGGCAGAGTGAACTAATAAGCTGACCACTTACTTTCCACTGGTCTTGCTTCTATTGGGGACCCAGAACTACCAGGCCATAGATGGAATTCTGTTAGCCCTTCCCTGGTACTAAGGGATCCCTAATTCTTCAACTGTAGAAAGACAGGAAGGGACGGAAAGAGTAACGGAGAGACAGCAGGAGAAACTGACACTTGGAAAAGTGTTTTCTAGTGCACGAGACATGACTTCATCAATTAGGGAGGACTGCTCTTCCGAGGTAACAAGGAAAAATTCCCTTGGGTATGGGGATGCAGCCCTTTTTCCTTACATGTTCAGTGGGGTCTGGAGGTAGGGACCTTGAGTTTAATCCTCCTTTTCCCCCGACCCAACTGGACACCACAGGTAAGTGGCCACAGTTTTAGTTCAGAAAAAGTGGGTAACTGAACCATCCGGACCTCAGAACCCAGGGTATTTATAGAGAACCAAGAGATTCAGTTGTGACTTGTGGTGTAGCATCAACTTCAGTGAGTCCTTCCAGGCTGATGCAGCCCTCAACCCTCAGAGCCCACTGCCCACTTGCCTGGGTGGTGGAGGCAGCGGGCTGCAAGTAGTCACTGGGACTGACAGCGGCAGTGGCAGCCATGCTGGTCTGTGGATCTGTGGGAAGAAAGGAGATGGCGTAAGGTATGAGATGCCTGAAAGGAATCCACCTGCCTCAGCTTTTCTTTTTGCCTCTATTTGCTGCTGCTTCTCCAAGAGAGATTAATAATATTTCCTCACCCTTCCTACTCAAAAGTTAGCAACTCCACATCTTTTTCCGTAGATGGCCTTCTCCTCTTCTCAGATTCTGTCATTATAAAGCCTAGGCTAACACCAAGGTGCCAAGACCAGTTTCAGTAACTCAGCTGTACCACCTTCTCTGCTGGGCACCACCAACTGTCCCGAGCCAGAGCGTGTCCGGAGAGAAGCAACCGCTGGGCCAGGAACCCTGACGAGGACACACCTGCTCCAAGGAAAGATCTTGGGTAGTTGATTCTGGGCCTCACCACAAAGGCACAGCAGCCCAGGTGCTGGCCTACAGCGTGTGGGTTCCTGCTTTACGTGAAATGACACTTTCACATAAGATGACAGATATGGTCTTGTAAATCACCATGACTAGGAAGGCTAGTAACTAAATAGAATGAGAAGCATGAAAATACCATAAATTCTATTTTTGTTTAGATGTCTAAAAAATGCTAATGTTAAAAAGCCATCATCTCTTGGTGAGAACATTTTGCTGGACTTAAAGAATTTTTTTTCCTGTATTTTCTTATTTTTCCGAAGTGAATACACTCCATCGTGTTGTTGTGTTTTTTTTTTTTAATAAAAAATGGAAAAGTATTGTAGGGACTCTGTTCTGAGCTTACGCCTGAGCTAAGAGAAATACAAAATAAGAAATCGTGAGAACCTGGAGGGAAATGAATCTACATGCTCCTTTAGTTCACAAATCAAAAAAGGACAAGAACACTAGGCAGAGTCTGCCTTGTTTCCTATGCCTTGTTTCCTGTCCACCTTTCAGGGTGGACAGTGTCACTAAAGTGTTACTTCAGAGAACGGAAACAGCAGAGGGGTTCTGGCACTGAGCCCGTAATGGGCATCTGGCGCCAAAAGACAGGGAAAAGCAGACCCACTGAAACTGTTCTTTGGAGAATGATTCTTAAATGGGGGGAGAAGGGGGAACTGAAAGCTGGGACAGGTGATGGGCACAACAATCTCTCCAAGGTTCCCAGGCGCTGAGGCCACACAATCGGCCCTCCGGAGCGGGAGAGACTGCAGGCACACTTACAAACAAAGCTCTGGACAAAACCATAGAGTGAGACCTTTAAATATTAGACACTGGTCCTTGGCAAAATCCTCGAACAAATGACTGAGCAGCACTGCAGTTACTGAGGGAAGCCAGCAGCAACCACAGGAGTTAAGCATAGGGCTGCAAAACACAAGTCAAGCCAGACAAGAGCTTCTGTAAGGGCTTGGGGCAGGTCTACGAAGAGAGGCAGCTGCCTGAAACTTAACAATGTTTTTATGAACAAGGAAGGGAAAAATGGCAGACGGGACGATAGTCTAGTATGGGGGCTAAGCTGAACGTGCCTGCTTCCACCTAAGAGCTGAGACCCATGCTTCTTGGAGTTTGCTGCTGCCGGGTCAGGCAGGGTGTCTTAAGTTAGGGGTGGGTCACGGGACCAGGGGTCTACAGGCTTCCTACAGAAGGCACGTATTTTCATTGTGATGATCATCTTTCTAAAATGACCATGAACTGGGTCTAAGTCTCGGCAGCTGAAGAGCAGGCAGGCAACAGTCATCAGCACGAGGGTCATTTCATCACTGGCCCTCGCCTGTGGTGATGGTGCTTTTTGTAAGAGGAACAAAGAGGCATAGATGAGAACTGCAATTAACCAAAAGTTGACAAAAACTAGAAAAATCCTCAAAGAGTTGCTAAGAGCTATATTAGTTGAGTGTGGCTGGAAGGATCAACTGAAGGCCCAGTATAAAGTGGTAATTAAGGAAAAAGGACTAGAAAGACATTAATTACTGTTGATGACATGGTGGCTGAAATCACACCAAAAGGCAGAGCCCTGGTACCTAAGAGTGTAAAGGAGCTTCCCCAAAGAATAAAACATCGCCTGCTTAGCATGGCAGCCTTTAAGACTGAGTGAGATTTTGTTGTATTGTGGTTTTATTTCTGAAAAGTAAAACTTGACATAAATCAGGAATCAGTTTTCCAAAATAAAATCCTCTTTTGTATGATAGTTAAAATGAAATAAAATGTTTAAAAATAAACATGTAATACAGATCATCAGGTGACTGTTGCTTAACTAACAGCTGCACCTTATAGAGCCTGTGTGTGTGTATGTATTTACAACAGTGTTGGTGCAAGTGTCACCACTCCAGCCACGTGGGCTAGTTACAACAACTTATTTCCGCTGTTGAATTCACAGCCCATTTTTGCAAAGTGAGGGTTGTGGCTCCTCAGAACCGTGGGAGGAACCGTTGCTCGGCTCTAGCTCGGCAGGGTGGGAGTGTGGATGGCACACAGCCGGGTGCCAGGGTGCCAAGTCCGTGCTGTGCCTGCGCTAATGGCAGCAATTTGCGTTCAGTCAAATGTCGCCCTCCCATGATGACGATGATGATGATGATGATTTCAATTTTACTGACTTTTGGTAGCTATTTAATTTTACAAGCGCTAGATCAATGAGTTGATTACACAGATATATATGTGAACATGATCAAGTTGTAATAATAATGAAAACAATCTCAGTCTATTCAAAAACATTTTGACTTTAGAGCCATGGTGTTCATACTCAGTCCATGAGCCAGTTATAAAAACAATTTAAGTCAAGTCAAGTCGCAGTGCTTGCGCACGCCCACATACACTTCCCTGTGCTGTGCTCGTGCAGTCAGCTTCTTGAACAGAATTTGCGCTTACTACATGCGATGAAATTTAGTTATTTTTTTACTCTGTTTAATTTTTTAACATGCTGGCTGTGACTCACTAAATTGGTGTGGTGCCCCAGAGTCTGGAAAATACCATGGCTCTAGAGTCACATCCACTGCCTACCAAGGTTGGGAAACCATGCTAAGATCCTGAAGGGGAGTAAAACTTGGGGACTCACAAAACCAAGGACAGAGGTCCTGTGTCCTCACGGGACTCTGGGAGGCTTTGGGAATTGATAAGAAAAGCATCAAGCACATAGTGGGTAGGCAAATGATTACCCACTTTGAACTTGAAATAACTTGGGTTAAAAAGAAAAAAGAATCACAGGCAAGCAGGACAGGAAGACGGGACTGAACGCTTGTTCTCATGTTAAAAGTGCCAGTGGTTTCAACTCAGAGCTAAAGGGGAGGCAACAGACTCTAGATGTGGTTGCCAAAAAAGCTACTGCAATCGAGTGCATTTCCAAAATTCAATCATAGCAGAAAAAGAATAGTTCTAGTGTGCTCTGCACACTTGGGCCACATCTGGCACCCTCTGGACATTCTGAAAGGGGGATTTTCAACTGGAGCTTGTCCAAAGAGTAGCAACGGTTGTGATCTGGATGCCAGAGGAGAGTATCTGCCTGGGTATTTCAAAGGGTAGAATCTTGGGTAGGAAAGTTCAAGACAGCTTTCAGTTTAATATGAGGGAGAACTTTCAAAAGATGGCATGCTTGCCTTTTGACTATCCTCCCATCTCGGAATCATTTAGCCAGAGGCAGGATGTGTATCTCTGGATGGAAAGGAAAGTTGGATTAAAAGATCTTTTAAGGGCCTCCCTGGTGGCGCAGTTGGTTGAGTGCAGCGCTGTGAAGCTGTCCGCAGCCTCTGCAGTGCTGGTTCGATCCCCGCCGGCCTCGGAACAACCCACACAGCGAGCAGACCTCTCCTGCCTCGCCCACTGCTCCCCTCAGCAGTGTGTTTCGTCAGTCTGCCTGTTCTGTTCCCCAATCTGTCTCTAGTGAATCCTCTCACTCTCCCATGCATCTGGCCTGTACCCCGGCTCTTGTATAAATAAAATAAATCTGTAAAGAAAAAATAAAATTAAAGATCTTTTAAGTTTTTCATAAAACAAGCACAAGACGAGTTTGTTGCTGGCAGAGCTGGGAAAGGAAGGCAGGGGCTCTCCTCAGGAGGCTCCCCTGGCTCAGGTCCCCTCAGCTAAAATTGGTGAGTGACTCTGCCTCAGACATCTCTGTTGCGAAACAGCAGCACAACAGAACACAACAGAGAGCAAAGGAAATGAAAGCTGGCCTAGTGCTTCATCACATCTCCCAGGCTCATTTCTCCATCTCCCTCTGCAGTCTTTCTTACCCTTGACGCAAGCTGTTTGGAACGCCTGAGCGATTCTTCATTTAGGAAGTTAAAGCAAAATCTATAGAAGCAAGCTACAGGCTGCTGGTGTTCTAAGCTGCAGCATTTCTTTGGTTTCATTTTCCTCCCCAGCTGGCTCCTGAAGTACTCCCCCAGATATCAAGCCATTGTTTGCATCTCTTCTAGTATTAGGGCTCAGGGCTTCATGGGCCCTGGGCCGCAGACCTGGGCAACCAAAACAGAGACCATTTTCCCTGCCACTGCAGAACTGTATCAGGGATTAACCATGAAAGGGAAAAGAGATGTATTTTCAATTGGTGTTTGGAATGAAAAGTGGTTCAGAAGTATCGTAGATACGTAACTGGGAGACTATGATCAAAGGGACTTTGGAACCTCATTAATTTGGAACCTTATATTTAAAACGTGTAATTTGGACATAAATTATGCTTAATTTCCTTCATACTATGCAAAGTGCAGCTAAACGGTGTATGAAGACAGCAAAGGGACGCAGGCATAGTTACGTAATTGTTTTATACCACTTCCACCATTTTAATCATACTATTTGCCTTAATGGCAATTTACATCCGGTCACTGAAACCTACATTTGGCAACATCGGTCAGTGGACTTGTTGCATGTTCTTGAAAGCAAAAGCAGTTTTTCTTTCAGAATTCTACCATTCCGACTTTTACTCATTTAGATTGACTAAAACTTTCCCCACAGTCCCTAGGCCCATGAAGTGGGAAAGTTTTCCAGCAATTCCACCAATAATAGCTCTGTTGAGCCCTAAGGCAAACTTCAAGGGTACCAAACAAAGCTTCAATTAGCCAGGCAT